AGGTCCCTTCCAATCCCCAACTTTCTGTGATCCTGGGATTCTGTGAAAAGCCACCTATTAGGATAAATAACTAGCACACATGATAATAGTTTCACAAACATGTGTAGAAATCTATGGGCAGATTTAAAAAAAAAATAACAGTTGAGATGACTTGCAGCTTCTCAGCAGCAGGCTGCATATTTGAAAATGATGTGGTCCTAAATTGGCAATAATTTTATTGCAGGCGTGGCTCTCGCCGTGATCCTCAGCAGCGTTCGACATATTAGTGACAAGGTTTTCCTAGAGGCTGCTAAGGTAAGTGTGGAAGCAGAGGAGGCTGTGGCTTCTGACGTGACAGTGAATGACATGATGGGCAGTTTGTCAAATCTTGTTGTAACTCTTAAGGTTTTCTTAAGACTTTCTTACCATTTCCATGATTAATGGGTAGTTCAGCCTTCAAAAAAATAGGATCTTATTTTGCTAAATGCTTACAAGCAGAATTAGCTGATACAGGCACAGATTGCAGAGCTGATCTTTGTGAATGTTGAGATTTTGACTGCCTTATTCTGGTGTTTTGGGAGCACTCTAATAGTAAGAACGCTGTAACTCATTTCTCTCAGGTGTTTTAGCATGTTATTGTTCCCATTCGGGATGCAGTAAATAGAACTTGCTTGTTTTCACATTGGCTGAACATGTCAGCAGAGTGCAAAGGTGGCCAAGGGCATCCTGGCTTGGATCAGCACCAGTGTGGCCAGTAGGAGCAGGGAAGTTCTCTTCCCCCTGCACTGGGAATCACTGGTGAGGCCGCAGCTGGAGTGCTGGGTTCAGTGTTGGGCCCCTGAGTCCAAGAAGGACATGGAGGTGCTGGAGCGTGTCCAGAGAAGGGAACGGAGCTGGGGAAGGGTCTGGAGCACAAGTGTGCTGAGTTCCCTTGTGGCTGAGGGAACTGGGGGTGTTGAGCCTGGAGAAAAGGAGGCTGAGGGGAGACCTTGTGGCTCTGTGCAAGTCCCTTGGAGGAGGGTGGAGAGAGGTGGGGGTGGGTCTGTTCAACCAAGGACCAAGGGACAGGACAAGAGGAAATGGGCTCCAGTTGTGGCCAGGGCAGTTGAGATGGGATGTGAGGAAGAATTTCTTTGCTGAAAGGGTTCTGAGGCATTGGAAGGGGTTGCCCAGGGCAGTGGTGGAGTCCCCATCCTGGAGGGATTGAAGAGTCGTGTAGACATAGTGCTGAGGGACATGGGTCAGTCGGGGACTTGTCAGTGTTGGGTTCATGGTTGAACTCCATGATCTGAAAGGGCTTTTCCAATCTGGATAGTTCTGGGATTCTGTGTGATTCTGTTTTTCTAACTCAGGCACTGACAGAACAGTTGACTGATGAAGAACTTGCACAAGGAAGACTTTATCCTCCACTGTCTAATATCAGGGAAGTTTCTATTTATATTGCTGTCAAGGTGAGTACAAAGCATAAAAGCAGACTGTACTAAAACTGGTTTATGTCACATTAACTTGCTGAATTACACAATATGACCCTTGAACACTCAAGTGCTTGGGCACAAAATTCCCAGTCCTTTGTGCTTTTAATAAGAGACACTTAGAAAAATCTTGGGTTTGTTGGATGTTGCAGTTTTGACAATCATGATGGGCCAAAATTATGGTCCTAAGTTTTCAGATCCCTGGTAAAGGCATTCAAGAATTGTAAAAAGATCTTGGTGTTTGTCTTAATCCAGTTTGTGACTCCTGAAGATATCGCAGTGGAAGTGGGGATGTTATGTTTATGTATTCAAAGGCACAAACTCCATGATGATTTAACTTTCCAGGTGATGGAATTTTTGTATGCAAACAACATGGCTTTCCATTACCCTGAACCTGCAGACAAGAACCGTTACATTCGCTCAAAGGTTTGGACCTACGAATACGAATCCTTCATGCCAGATGTGTATGACTGGCCTGAATCTAAGGTTCACTGATGCACCAGAAGATCTCACTCCTCAGGCAGGATCTTCTACTCTGCAGGGATCCCTTTTTCAGACCAATTTAAATCGTCATCTTTTGAGTCCTGTAATTTATTTTGTTGTCTTTTTTTTCTTTTCCCCTTGTACCCTCTTTTTCACTTGACATAGATTTCTCCCCACTCTCCCAAGTACCTGATAAACTTGTAGGGATGATGGCATCCATCACAGGAATGAGAGAGCTCTCCAAAATTAATGTAAATAATGACATTGGCATTTCTAACTTAGAGCTGGCACCACACTAAAGAATTCCATTAATGATGTTTTAGCTACGTACGTTTGATGATGAACTGTAGCTCTCTCATCACTGCTGATTACCAGAATGATTTATTTCTGCTTTTAATAATCAGTCTTCTCATTCTCCTAGTGTTGTCACACTGTGACATCACCAGAGAGCATTTGTCAAAGGCAAAAATAAGCACAGCTTAAGAGAAATTTAACAGTCTAATGGGCTTTCTGTTTTGACTGATGTTTAAAGATGCCCGTGTCCAGACATCCCGTGGCGTTGGCTGCTCGGTTTCTTTGAGCAGCAGCGTGATGTGCACGCGTGGAATCTGCAGCTATGTTTGTATTTTGTGTTTTTATCATTGTGTGAAATCTCTTATCAGGAGAAAACGGGAATTAGTTAAAATTATCTTTGGAAAAGCTGAAAATAATCACTTAATAGCTTTTAAAAATGAAACTATGCTGTTGCATAATAATTTCTATCATAAAAAGGTAGGATCTGAAGTAATTTACAGGAATCTTTTGGAGATTTTACAAGGAGATTTTCTGCAGTGGACTCCACAGTGATGTACCAAAGGATTTTTTGTTTGATTTGTTTCTTTTTCCAACGTTCTGTTTCTTCAAAGCTAAATTTTTTTTCTCCCTTACATACCTTTGTTCTCACAAAAAAAAGACTTGTGTGTGATGTTTTCCTGACATCGCTGACTCAAAAAACTCCTCAGTGGACTCAACTTGCCACTTTGAACAAACTCCCCAGAGGCAGCTGATGAAGCTGAAACAGAAAAGTGTTACAGGCAGCTATCGACACGCACATTTACAGGAGTTTGAATGTTTCTTGTGCTCTCAGTTCAGTTACAACACAGGACTCAAAAGACCCGAGGTTTTAAAGCTCTAAGTTGATCACTTCATCTTCCTCGCTCCATTTACAGGTTTAATTTGTCAGGGTTTTTTTTTTTTTTTTGTGTGTGAAAATCGAAATTGTGAGTTGAATTTTTCCTTGCAATGACAAGTGTTGCACGTTGGATACTGATAACCACAATGTGTGTTCCTTTTTGGTTTGTTTTTATCAGGTTTCAGTGCCCTCCATTACTTTTTTTATTAGCAAGGACACACGGTGATAGTTACAGTCTGTGACTTCTCTAAATCTCATCTCTGTAACAAGAACAGTGGTATGTCAGGAACAGAAATAAAGATAATTTGCTGTTCCATAGTTTGCTGCATCAAGGCAAAAATAAAAAAGATAAAAATAGATGTAAAAGGGCTATAGAGACAAACTTGAAGCCAGAATCCAAAGAGATGAAGTAAGAGCTTGCTCAGGATTTATCCATGGCAAGCACCTCTCTCATATCTTCATTTATATTGAAAAATGCAGTCTCCACAGAATTAGCCCAAAATAGAACAGGGAAAATAATCTCTGTACCTTCTTAGACATGGTCTCTGTCATTTACTGCCTAATATCTGATTTAAAAATGATGTTCATGTATTAAACAAAAAAAAGAACAGTGAACTTTGGGAAAGCTTTACCTAAGTAAGGAAAGAAGACTGATTATATAAACACAGAAAATAATGATGTGGGGAAAAGACTGCGTATTCAAACTGTGGTAAAGTGCTGTCTGCTGGGGCTTGAAATACCACGTTGCCAAATTGGGCGACGTACGTGGTTTGCAACTTGTATATGTAAGTATATGTACAAAAAAAAAAAAAGACCAACACACTCAGATGATGTTTTTACAAAGAATGCTTTTTTTCATCTATTTTTGCTATGCCTGGTTTTTATTGTATTTAAATTTGTGATCTTACTGAGAAATTATTTATTTAGTGTACGAATTATTTTTACCTTCTACGACTTCAAGTCTAGCTGAAGCCTGTTGTAGTGTGTCAGGAGACTTCTGCATCATTGGATTCAAGCGTATGGGGAACATACACTTCCATACTTCTGCCAACCTACTAATTAATTAGGCAGATAAGTAATTAAAATATCCCATGCACTGATCTTGTGTCCTGGCTGAGAATGATCACAGAGGCAGGGCAATCGGTCCGTAAATATAACTCTGTCTTACCAAATAAAGATCTGCATCTATCTTTTCAGTCTGATTAATTTTATTCTCTTTTTCAGGCAAGAAGTACAGTCATGGTTCATAATCAACAGGTATTGATAGTACTCAGGAAAACTTGGAGCTGAGGAAAATAGGGAATTACCTGTGTGCAGCAGGAGTCTTGCTTTGGGGAAGAGTGGTTTTAGTTCCCAAAGGGAGCTCTGGTGCAGGAAATCCACAGTGGCTGCTGTCAGATGCCTGTTTGGTGAGGTGCCATCCTTTCCCTTCCTGGCACGGGCTCCCTGCTGTCGTTCAGCAGATGCCAAGAGGGATTGTTCAGAACTGGTCATCAGTGGGATTTTCCCCAAGTACAAATGTTCCTGCATCATTTTTTTCCAGAAATCCCACTGCACAGGTGAGGAAAAAAAGTCTTTTAACTGACTCAGAGGCTCCAGGTACAGCCCTGCCCCGCTGGGGCTCTAGATGTGTCAAAGCTGTAGGGTAGAGAAAGCCTGACTGTCCCTCTGATCTGTCCCAGTTAGGGTAGTTAATGGGACCAGTTAGACTTCACCTATGCATACACACCTGTGGACATTGTTTAATCAGGTTCTGTGGATTATCTATAGGTTGCAATATAGGCAAAGCAGAATTTTACCTTTAATGTATAGCCATTGTTTTTCATTGGCAACAGGTAACATGTCAGCTCACAAAGTTTTAAGTGCATTGCACTCTCCCTTTCATCTTTTTCAGATTTCTTTTTTTATAAAACATATAGATTTTCATAAAACATATAGATTCATCTTCAGTTTTGTGTATTCTTCAGATCTAATTCATCTTGGAATTAATTACAACTGCTAATCTTGCCGCTTAGGAAGGAACCACAGTATACTTTTTTTTTTTATTCTACTTAACCTGATTTATTTTTTTCTATTTGCTGGCTCACTCCAAAGGATTTACTGATCTTTATCTACACAGAAAATTCTCTTACACAGTATGGAAAGGGAAAAAAGTTGTCACCAGGGTGCATCTTGTAATGCTACAGAGCTTAAGTTAAGCTTATACTGTTCTTTAAAAATATATATATATCACCTAAAGGAGGACTAATGTTCTAGCTCGTCACACAGCCCTGGTGACTTTTGCCCTTCAAATGGTGTAGAAATCTTTCATGTCTCTTCTGTGAGGACACTATTGTGGATGTACAGAACACTTCTGAGAGGATCAGAAACTCCCACTGAGGTCAGGAGCTTGGTCTTTTTCAGTGCTGGTCCAAGAATTGCTTCCTGAAAATCAACAGCAATGTACAGAAATGTTTAGGGGAGGAGAAAGGAGGAGAAAGGTACTAAGGGAGCGCTGCCTTTTTATTTTATTAAATATTTATGTTCTCGTTCGAAGGTGTTAACACAGGTTTGTACGTTCCTGAAGCGTGTGCCAACAGTTGATGTGTAGAGGAAGACCATTCAAATGTCGTGTCTGATAGATTGGAAAACCCAAATGTGACTCCTCACCTAAATTCTTGGTTACGATCGTGATTGTTTCACGCTGTTGTGTTTGTTTTCCAAAGCTAAAACCAACAGATCGGTGTTTTAACAGGTTTCCCGTGGTAGGTGTGTGTCTTTGTACTGGGGTTTTTTTTTCCAGCATGCTGTTTTGCAGGAAGGGAGTGAAGTAACCCTTTGTCACACTCCTGAGGTCGTTAACTGTAAAGATAAATGAGATAAATGATCCACCTTCTAGTTTTTCATCAGCAGCCCTGTTTAGTGACTACTCCAGGAGGAGAGTGGGGATGACTATTGTACAACTACAACTGTGAATTTTAGTTCAGCTGACTCTGGGCTGGAGTAAATCCAAATTATCTTTCATTTACTCCGGGTCTTGACTTCAAAGGTGCAGATTTGAGCACGTCTTGTCATTAGGATAAAGGTTATCTACAAGATTCAGGTCGGACTTTTAAGAACAGCATAGTTTGGACTCTGGTTCTGTCTCAGTTATAAGTGCTATTCTTGAGTTTAAGAAAACCACTGTTGTTTTTGGACTCAAAAAAAAGATGATGGATCCTGTTTCATAATAGGCAGGGAGCGGTGTTACATTGAATACTGGAGCAAGGAGAAAATCTAGAGCAAAGCTCTAATTGCACCCACTTGACAGCTGAATTTGAGCAACGTCATTCAGTTGCTGCTGGTGTAAGGGACATCTAATTCTATATGGATCTACCTTGACCTACCTACCTACTCCCAAAATACACACTACCATGGTATCAGAAAGTCTACCAGATGTTCTGGATGAACTGCAAGGAAAAAAATCAGCGTGCTTTCAACCTCTGCTTCCTGCCATCGCTTCCCAAGTCACAGTGAGGATGGAGCTTAACTCGTGCCTTCTCCAGAGGAACATGTGCTGACAGCTGGATGGGGAATTCATTACCTGGTGGCATGATGGACCATGGCTACAGCTCGTGTTAAAAACTCTCTGGCATCAGATATTTTGCTTGTGGTGCAGGAATATATTGCAGGTGTGTTTTATATTCTCCGTGCACAAAGTGGACGCTGGATTGAACTGAACTCTCCGAGTACCTTTGACTTCTCCATCCTTTAAGTAGTTTCTTAATGGAAAGAAAAATACTTTTAGGACTGCACGAACAGAGTAAAATGGCCAGTTTGAAATAAAATGTCAAAGTAATTTACATTTCTTTCTATCTTAAAC